GACAGTGTCAATAGTTTGAACAGGTTAGACCAGCGAAACAGCTGCAATGGGTTGGATTGATCAGATGGATCAGAAAGGTAAATGGTTCTTACAAGTTGGACCAGCCACATACACTCATAACAGACAACAGCACATCTCAAACACATCTTAGTTACAAGATTTTTTTTTGTTCTGGTCTTCATACCTTGCAGTTCTTTCTGTTTGATACAGAGATGACAGGTTGGGCATTTGGTTATTTCTCACTGCATCTATTACAAACACAGAAGCCTGCAGAACCAAAATGCAAGATAAAGGGGTAAGAATTAAACAATAATTTTATTACTTTACGTATGTTTTATCATTCAGGAAGAGGAGTGAGTCCTGCACTAGCCAAATACAAGGAGCTTTAATTGCATTCATTTATTATGTTTATACTGAACCTCACCTTGCGAGAAGCAGGGACAAAGATAGCAAGTATAACACGATTATCTCTGCAAAAGATACCGGCAAGATAATAATGTCAATGAAAATAAATAAATTAATACCAATATCAAACCTGAGTAATGTTCACAAAGGCATATCCATAGAATGGCTTGAAATAAATCACATTGAATTCAGAATGAAAATTGCCTGGTAGCAATGTTGGTTGCTTTTTGGTTGCAAAAGTGATAATTGAGCAAAAAAAAAAATCAGCTGAAGAGATATCAGGAGTTTGTAGTCTGATGACAATTCACTGCATGACTACTAAACAGAAAAACAACTCTTGACGCATGCAGCCGTAAACTTTGCAAACTGTAACCTCTAATGAAGGCAGCCCTTAAATTTAGCTCATCATACATTCTAATGACTACTTCCAAACAAATCCTCAGTGATACAAAAAGACTGAATGAAACCAAAACAATGACCTCTACACAAGGGGACCGAAACAAAAACTTACGAGGAGCTGTGGTAGAAATACATTCTCTTGAGATTCGCATTTTCCATGTAAGAACATTCTGCAAGAGTCTTGAACTCCAGTTGGTCCAGATCGAACGTGTCCAAGTCCTAAAAGAGACAATTAATTTAACAGCTTTAGTTAAATCTTGTTAACATAACTGATGTTATGAAGTTCATAAATCACATCAGTACTGACCTTGCCATTAAAAAGCTTTGCAAAGATCTTGTTCACTTTACAAACACATCCGAGTTTGATTATTGCTCTCATAGACAGTGGCACCTTAAAGTTGAAAAATGTCAAATTTAATTATACTTGGCTCTATCATTAACTCATTTGTGAGTCAAAGTCAGCAAAGAGTGAATAAACCCAAGCATGGTTGTGACATGTGTAACACAAAAAGTTACAGTCAAAGGTCAAGAGTAAAGATTAAAAGTTGAAAGTAAGGGTCACAACTCAAGAGTTAAAGTCAAAAGTCAAGATTAATGTCAAAAGTCAAGTATCAAGGTCACAAGTTAGGAAGATAATACAAAAGATCATAATTCTAAAATTTGAGTCAAATTAGGAAATATTTTGTTTAAATTGATTTACAAACACAATATACATAGGGAAAAACTAAACAAATAAAAAGAGGAAATAATAATATTACAGCATGATACTTACTTACTTACAGTACAATATGATTGTTCAAATTAGGAAAGATACTGTTCTTACTTTGAACAGTCCTTTCCTGGAACCCTTACAATGTATGAACAGATGAAAGAACACCTTGCAATGTGGCATTGTATATTCAAAGCAAAAACGTTGGGTTGCCTCAAGAAACATCCAAAGCCATTGTTGATGGCACATCTTCTGAGAGATGAGCCATTAATTAAAGTAAGCAATGCAAAGCTTGAAATTTACTCTTCCAAAGATATCAAACACTTATAACCTAAACAATAAGGAAGGTTCCAAACCTGTGATTCGTAAATTCCTTCAATGTCAGGAGATGACAAATCTGTAGCTAACTCACTGTCAAAAGAAAAATTAATGCTTTAGAGTTAAACATTGTATTATTGATATTACTAGGAAGTTAAAAAGAAGGAAAAAAAGCTGGACGGGTTTATAAAAATTTACCAAAAATCTGTTTTTAATCAATTCTTACAATGACAGGTTACTTTCTTTCCTTAGTGGCAAATTTTGTATGAGAAAGAATTGCTTGTTATAACAATGAATTCTGGTATTTTAGGGCTCAAATATCTTGCTATTATATCACAATATTTTTTATGCTTTATCCCCCTAAACAGTTAGAAGTTCATCAGGCCTCACATTTTAGTAACAGGAAATCGAATCCAAACAATAATCAATGCATGAGACATGTGCAAATGAGAACTAAACAAAAATTTCTCAGTAGTGGCAACATTTTGTATATATACCAGGGTGCAAAAGAAAACCAATTTTCGGGCATCAAGTACATTGTACAATAGATTTGCCCAAAAGTCATCACCGCTGGAACTCAAAAAGTTTCTTACTAGCATGATTAGCTAATTTAAAATCAATCTTAATACAATAATTTCATCTCTGTCAGTTCTTCTGTAATTTGAATTAACCAAAATATTTTCCAAAAAAATTTCATTAGCCCATTGGTCAAACAAAGGAAATAATCCACCAGTGCGACAGCAAAGTCCACAAGCCCCAGGATAGTGGACATGGCTTTCTATGCATGCTGTATACACTCCTTACCTTGAGTGATCCCTGAATATTTTTTCAGGAACAGTATACTCATACAGGTTAAGAACTGTGTGAGATCGAGGAAGAGTGCGGGAAACTTTCCTCCATGCTGCAAGGACATTATGAAAATGATATCAGAAACAGTCTTGTGTTACAGATGTCTTTACCAGAGCTGGAACTTACATCTGAATTATTAAGACATTCAAGCTTTTTTTGCTAGCTTTACTGGCAACTGCAGAAATGCATTGTGCATCTTTAAGTGTGATCTTAACCTTCAAAAGGGATAATGCGATAAGTGAAAGCCAGACATCAATGCTTTTCTATTAGCTACAAAGTGGATCATGCACCAACAGCATCCGATCTCCCTTGTTGGGATTTGAAATAACCTTAAATGCAAGGTTTGAATGTTTATTCTGTGACCAGAACTCCCATCTGCTGATCTCACAATCGTGGTGAGACTTTAATGATGTAGCAACTGTTTGGCATGCTTTATGGAAGCTATCGAAGTATGTGGACTGGCATGACTTACTTGTACCAGCTCCTTCCTTTGGGGTGTGGCAGTTGACATAGAAAATCCTTGGTACATTGACTTTGATGGCATGGAGATCTGCTCCTACTAATGCCCACACTTTGAATGTACCTGGATCATTTGTCTCAGCAAACTGAAATGAAGGATAAAAATAAAAATTTCATGTCTGCACTTAATAAATAAAATTATAGCTTGAGCTGTTGTAAAGCAATGAGGTGACAAAAGCATGGAAGAAAAACAAGCCCATCTGCCCCCACACTCATCAAGATTACAAAATCTTACCTGAATTATCTGCCAAGGAGTGTCTACAAGAGACCTTGCTTGCTGTCTCATGAAGGTTGACAACCCAGTGGATGGGCCACGCCCAACTGCTAGTGTGCTTATCCCCATGGTGTCTGCCTCTTTCCGTAGGCGCTTCCTCTCAGCTCGCTGTTTGGACTGAAATTCCCACTTTTTCTTTTGAAATGCAAGCCACTTCTCCTTATCTTCCTGCAAGAAGAAATAATCATGTCATCCATACCAAACAGTAAGTTCATTTTCCAGCATATTATGAGTTATTATTTCTGGTACATGTGGTAGAACTGATTCATCAAACAATGAGCAGCACGTTTCACATGGTATCTTCTGTTACTAAACAAGTGG